TTTGTGTAGCTGTGAGAAGGTTTCTTTTCCCACAGCCGCCTTTTCCAACCAGTAACTCGTACCTTAGGAACGGTTTGAGCGTTGGTGATTTGTATCAGCACTGGCATGCCTTTTTCGTTCACCTCCACTTCGCATGGTGGGCAGACTAGAATGGAGGACATAGTGAACCTGGACCTAATAGTTGCGAAGGACCTCGTCAAAGCAGTTACCTGTATCTCCAATCTTTGACTGTAGCGTCTTGTCAACTCCAGTAACGGTTACATTCTGTGGGTTACCCTTGGTATCTGGCTGAAATCAGTGAGCTGAGGGCCATGGAAAGCTCGGGAAGCTGACCCATTTCACTAACCTGACACTGCTTGTCCGCGTAGAAGATTGACTCTCCATGAGCACCTTTGACGAGCGTACCCCTGGTGTAGTTTCTCCATTTTGGCTGGCCATCCGCTCCTTTTTCTATCTTCTCTTCCGGAATGAATTGTGGTGTTTCTGAAGGGTTAATATGAGTTTCATGAAAAAGACAATAAAGTGGATTGATAGCCAGTTCACCGTGAGCTCCTTTGACGAGTATTCCTTTCATTGGTTTGTCGATTTTCTTCTTAGGACCAATCTCGGCACCTTCCACTTTTTCAATTTCTATCAAGACAGCTACACCAGCGGGACCCTAGGCAGCTGGAATGACAAGGGGCAACTTACAGTACGCAAAAGTTAGGCCATCTTACCACAACCGCAACTTTGTCAGGTGTGATAGCTCCATCAATAGCTTTATCTTCATCGGTTTCAGAATCAGCTGCGTGGCGAAGTTCCACCACCTTCCTGAAGCCAGAAGTTAGCGGAAAAGCCACTACTCAAGAAAAAATGAGGGAATCCCACTTTCTATCGCTGTCATCGTCCTTCACCATCTTTTGCTTCTCTTTCTTTAGCCTTTTTCTTTGCTCTACGTTCTTGTCTGTGCTTCTTGCAACGTTTCTTCTTTCCATTCATTAACTTGACACATCCACAAGGGGGAGCGTCCATCATTATCTGCGCAACATTCCGATTACTGGAATTCCGTCCCATGACCGCAATGGCGGGTAGGGGGAGCAGATGGGGAAATCAGTGTTGCGCAACGCAACGCAAAGTTGTTTCGACAGTGCTTGGAATCATTTAGACTGTGTTCATACTTTGCGACAGCGTCCACCAGCGACCAATAGCGTCCACCTAGCGTTCCGAGCGTCCGGCAGCGTCAGCGACTAGGAAAGTATAGATATCGATCTAGCGTCTGCCAGCTCTGCCAGCATCCAGTAGAGGAT